TCACGGCCAGCATTTAACACGATCAAAGCGGCTCTTGATGAGGAGCTCAAGGAAACCTTCGACATGTCGTGGAATGATCCAGGGCCAAACCATGATTCAGTGTACTGGGCAGGAAAGTCCTTGGCAAAACACGCCAACACCTGTATCACGGCTGCTGCAATCTATGGACAGTTCTCGTCGACAATGTGCCGGTGCCTGGAAAAACTAGCGACGGCTTTCGCACGCTTCACAACTAATCGCCGAACCTATAACCTTGTTTTTGATGAAACATGGGGGGGTATTGTCAACTCACTCGGCTTCGAAGGCTTGAACCTCGACTACGGAAACATGATGTATAACGACCATCACTTTCACTACGGTTATATTGTCTATGCCGCTGCTGTTCTTGCACGTTTTGATCGGCTTTGGTTAACTGAGAAAAACAAAAACTTCGTACACAGTCTCATTCGTGACTACAATAACCCTTCTTCGGCGGATCCATTCTTCCCGGTTTTCCGTAACTTTGACTGGTTCCATGGGCACTCGTGGGCCCATGGTCTTGATGAGCAATACGACGGCCGCGATCAGGAATCAACCTCCGAAGACGCGTTTGCAAGCTTTGCGATTAAACTATGGGGTGAAGTAACCAATAGGCACGATATGCTCGGTCGCGGCGCCTTGATGCTCGCAGTTCAGAAGCGTGCTATCAATAAGTACTTTGTAATGTGGAAGACTCCACCCCATGGTTATCGAGACGAGGACATTCACCCGAGGCCCTACCACCACAACTTGTTCGCTAGCATCGCATTTGAGGGGAAATTGGATACAACGACCTTCTTCGGACACAACCGTGCCTTTATTCATGGCATCCATATTGTTCCGGTGTCGCCTATTATGAAATTCATCAAGGATAAGAGACATGTCGAAGAGGTCCATAAAACTTTCTTTGCGACCGACGAAGACTGGGATAAGGTCCCGAATGACTGGAAGGGTACACTCATGATGGAGAAGGCCCTGTACGACCCCCGATCCGTATGGGATTGGTTCATGACTGGATGGGACCCCAAGAACCAGACCCTGGTTAGGAGTCATATCGATCAAGGTGCGAGTCTATCGTACTACCTCCTGACCTTGGTTGCCTGGGGTGAAAGTCCAGGGCAAGATTCGAATGGGTTTTGGTATGTTCTTCTTCTCACCCCATCCTACATGTGTGATTTGGATTAATAGTAAATACTGACAATATTTCAGGGACCAAGCCCTTGTGAACGGGACCCGTGACGCCATGGGTTCACCTGTGAAGGTATATAAGCCAGATCCGTAGTGGGTTCAAGTCGATTGTCTTATCGCTATATTTATATAGTTACCAGTGGTTTAGCTTAGCTATTCGAGAATGGAATATGGGTATAACGAATGGTGGATGGCTGTGGCCCCAGTCCATTGTACGCCAAACAGGATATTTGTGATACTACTCCCATCATGATGAACACAAGGCATCTTCTGTCCCTCAGCTGCGGCTGAAACATCTTTCCTTGAAAAAACGTGTCAACCTTTGGCAGAGCGATGATTGGCCACATGTTGTCACAGGATCCTTCTCAACATCATTGTTCAGGCCATTGACGTCTGGGCTATGATGTGTCGTGTGTGGCTGTGTATATCCAAAAAAACAATCACCAATGATTAAACCGTCGTAGATTACGATAAGTTAGGCCTTTTCCTTATCCCAAAGCACGCTTTGAATCTGTCAAAACGTTGAGCCCGCTATCACAGAAACACTATTCCGAAGCACTATGAAACTCAACCTTCACGTCCACAAGAGCGCCTCATCCCTTATCCTCAAAATCACTTTTTCCATCCTCCTACTCCTTTCATTCTCCACCTCCATCACAACCACCGCCACTACAACGACCAGTAAAGCAACACCACCACCACATTCGGTCCTCCGCCGAACTCCACGGCCGCCGGGATTGGTCCGCCCACAGGTTCCGGGAAGGGAAATGAGCGAGATGGAAAAAACAAAGGAGATTGGAGCAAATTTGGGACAGACTGCCGCGAGTTTGTTGGGGGTTGGAGAGAGAAGGATTTCAAGTATTAGTGCTGTGGGATGGGGGACGAGGACGACGGGGGGTTTGGGGGTGGGCGGCGGAGACGGGGTGGAGTGGAGGGGAATTGGGGTTGGGAAAAAGTGAAGAAGTCGATGTGGGGAGAGTTGAAGAAGAAGGAAGTGGGAGAAGGGGGGTTGAGAATGGTGGGAGTTGGGGGTATGGGGGTGGAGTGGAGGTGATGGGGATGGTTGGTTGGTTTGGTTGTAGTTGCGGTGGTGATGTAGTTTATGAAGCTTGTATTCGTTTTTTATAGTGGTGGACAGTGAGGTTTACGATGATTGAGGGACTTCACTTAGGATAAGATTTTAGGATACAGAAGCCCACCAGTGTTAATATTCCATGGCCTACATCCAGTCCGCATTGTTCCTCACTCGTCTATTTATCACGTGATCTTAATCATCACTTGATTTCGATTACCAATCCACGGGTTATCAAAATACTGGTGATTATGGGGGAAATATGACTCAACGTGAGTTGGGTGAGAGCATGGCTGTATTTTGAAATGCATCTCAGTATATTAGAATGGTGATGATTTGTGCGCTGGACACTGATTAGGTCAGCAACGATATATATATATATATATATATATAGACCGGAAACTCCCAATGGCAGAGGGAGCTCCGTGTGTAAATTGGCGCTCGCCCAAAAACTCGTTGGATGGCTTTGAATGCAGGAGCACGGCCTCGCTCGTGGGTGCGGCCCTTTCTGTTCCTGGAGCTCGATCGAGTTGCTTGGCCATTGTCGACGAATTACCCAGCGAATCAGATGACTCTTACCTCAGACTGGCTCAGGTGATTCATACAAAAGTAGTGGTAGTTGCGTGCCAACAGTTCGCCCCGTCGTCTCTTCGCCACGAGCCGACGAACGTATGAGAGAGAGCTGCCGTTCTTTCCTGGAGAGAGCTTTCCCACCGACAGACAGAGAGAGAGAGAGAGAGCTTCACCGTTCAAGGAGACATCACCACCACCAGCATCACCGCCCCCCCCCCTCCACGATCACGATCACGACCACCACGATCGCTGGAACGAACCAAGCAATCACCAGCCCCCAGTCACCGCAACCGTCCTATACTCTCTTCCCCCAACTTTTTTGTTTTATCATTCAACTCTGTCACCCTGGCCGCCTCGCCAGTTAGCGACCACACACCCCACCACCACCTCTAAACAACACAACACCCACCACCACCACCACCACCACACCTCACACACACATCCACCCTTCCACCCATCACTCGCGCAACACACACACTCTTCAACAATATGAACACTCAAAGCGTCAACCGCGTCCAGCCGGTAGCAGCCGCTGCTCCGTCAACAATCGCCCAAGAAAATACAACATCGACAACATCGACTGTCGCTCGACCTGCTGAAGCCGCCTCTTCCACCGCCCCACGGACAGCTTCCCAGGTCTCCGCCTCCCAAAGTTTAACCGTCACAACCAGTTATTCTAGTAGTACTGACAGCACCCAAGACGGTTCTTCCATGACCGTTTCAGTCCCGACAACACCAGACTCACCCACGATGCCCGTCACGCCGACTACTACAACGATGAGTAACAGTGATTACAGCGGTTATACTGGTGGCTACTATGGGTTAACATCCACAACAGCCGCCTACGCATTGTGGGCCAAGCCGACGTTTGCAAGCTTGGACGCCGACCAGAAAAGAATGCTATTTTGTGGCCTACTGGAGGAGTGCAACGGATACTGGGACGACGGAATTTATTGAGGTGGACGAGAGGGCGACGAGATGAAATTCAAGACGACCACCACCGACCGACCGACCGACCGACCGACCCTGGCACGCCATGAGATGGGTTGAATGCATCTTCGGCTGCGAGCATAGCTACGCCACACGACCACCGAACTTGACGACCACAATATCGAAACGTTGAATTTGCGACAATCTACAAAAACCACAATCTCCTCTCATCCTCATCACACCGCCCCGATCTCGCCGTCGCTTCACACACCTCGGCGGTTATGTATACCTGTCGACATCTAAAAGCGCCCGACACAATATCATCGGTATATCGCCTGGATGTACGCTGCACGCTACTTTATGAACCCTGGATCACACCGGCCCGCCCCGGATATTGACCCTGACGAAACATGGCGTTGTGTCAGATATCAACGGTGATCAAAAAAGGTTCGTACATACATGCCCACACATGTCATCGCTGAGTAACTCATGCATGTACTTACTTGATTGTAGACTAGACTACTACCTAGTGCGGTCTCGTGGAAAGCATTCATCCGAACATCGTGTTCTATATTGATATGTTGGGGAACCGATATGGGAATCTTGTGATGGATAAGCGTTGAAGCCCGGTGATGCGAGTTCTATACACATGATACTGGCTATATTGGAGGCGGACAAATGAGCGAGGATATGATTACTGGTGAAGATAGACGAGCAAGGAGGAATACTTGAGGAAGGTTAACGACAAGAAGGATATGCCCGTATTTACTTGTTTTATCACATCCCCAATAGGTGATGTACCCTTACTAGAAAGAACAAAGACTCCACTCTAGACCCCTAAGCTTCTCCGCGAAGCTACCAAATCTATGAGGAGCTGTCCAGCTCATCCGTGCTTCCCGATATCCCAGCCACCCGACATATTTGACTGTGCACCAAACTAGTGACGGATTAGGTTCAACTTGATCCTCCTTCTCGCCGTCTCACATCAGGAAGCCATAACAGCCGATACCACATAAACATAACTCTTCCATAATGCCATCAGTAATGCCAACTCAAGCTACGCCCACATTCATGCCCATTACCTTCAAGCCGTAACCATGATGGCTACCGGTCCATCCCCGATTACCTTAGAACTCATCCTACGCCTTCACATCATATCATATCATACCTGACGTGTCTAGCCCGCTCGTCTCTGCTCCCAAAAACTCCCTAAAAGAAATGACCCCTACCCGATTTGAACGGATAACCTTTCGATTACAACTCGCGCTGGAGTCGAACGCGCTACCGTTGCGCCAAGGAGTCGTTGAGTAACAGTATAGTTTATACTACATGAACTATACTGGAACTCGCATTGGAGTGGACGCGCAAGAGGAGTGGATGTTCACCTACATTGGGTACCCGGCCACCAAGACATAGTTGGCAATGAGGTAGCAGACAAAGCGGCAAAAGAAGCCGCCACCCGCAATCAGAATGTCTGGGGGATTCGGATACCCTCATTAGCCCACATCAGCCGGCTGACCAACGAAGCCAGACATCTAGAAGAGAAGCAGTGGTTTGGGGAGAAGTGCCAAAAGTACTATCCCCAGCGGTACAAGCTCAGGAAGTCCACCAAGGTAGACCCAACAGCG